TCATCAGTTTCAATGCAGTATATGTAGTTTATCCAGTTTTTCTCATCCTTACCCCAAACCTGATGTCAATTCCATTCTACAGCAGTGGCGTTATGCAGTGTTTGTCCTTTTATGACTGAGATAGTTCACTCAGCATAATGTCCTCGAGGGTCACCCATTTTGAATAATATTGCATGAGTTCCTTGTTTTTCTACATAAACTATTTCAGAAAATAGAACAAAATGGAACACTCCCAGACTCATTCTATGAAGCAAACATATCCTCGATACCAAAGCCAGGAAAGAACATCACCAAAATAGAAAACTATAGGCCAATATGTCTTATGAACATAGATGCAAAAATCCTAACTAAAATACTGGCCAATAGAATCCAATGATACATCAAAGAAATAATCTTTCATGAGCAAGTGGGATTCATAACAGGTATGCAAGGATGGTTCAATGCAAGAAAAACAATTAATGTAATTCTTCATATTAACAAAGCAAAGAACAAGAAACATGTGATCCTATCAATTGATGCAGAAAAGGCCTTTGACAAAATCCAATACCCTTGCCTGATTAAAACACTCAACAAAACAGGATTAGAAGTGAATTTCTTCAACATAGTAAAAAGTAGTTATGCAAACCTAAAAGCCAACATTGTTCTCAATTGAGAGAGGTTAAAGGCATTCCCTTTAAGAACAGGAACTAGGCAAGGATGTCCATTATCACCTCTCTTATTCAATATTGTATCAGAAGTTTTAGAGATAGCAGTAAGACAAGAAAAGGACATAAGAGGTATCCAAATTGGCAAAGAGGAGGTAAAATTACCTCTCCATGCAGATGATATGATAGTATACTCAGAAAACCCTAAAGACTTAGCAAGAAAACTATTGAACATAGTTGACCAATTCAGCAAATAGACAGGATACAAGGTCAAGATACAAAAATCAATTGGATTTCTCTACAGTGACAAAGAGAATACCGAACTGGAGCTAAGAAAAACAATATGCTTCACAATAGCTAATCACAAGATTAAATAGTTGGGATTAAATCTAACCAGAAACACAAAGAATCTATTTAAAGAAAACTTCAAGTAAGTTTTACTCCATGTTACAGGAGTGCAGTTTTTAGTAGCTATTCATGACAGTTCAGAGAGTTAATAAATCTGAAACAAGAGTCATATTTCTTCCTTTTTGGAGTATACATACACATGCAAGCTAAGAATTCTGCTCTTTGAAATTAGTGGGAACATCCTCAACAAAATGCTGCCCATCTATTTGTTTAATCCTACAATAACCCCAGGATAAGTGTCATTCCCCAATGCTACATAAAGCTTCCTCCTTTCACAAATTTAGAAGAAAGTTTTCATTTTGTGTAGTAAAAATATCAATATTCTTGGAGGACTCTTATTCTTGGTCCAAATACAATTCATTAATTTATTTCCTTTTAGGTGAATTTTACCCTTGAGAGTTTTTTCCTGGACTTTTGGCCCTAGGAGAATATCTACAAATCTCCTTGGAGCTCAAAGACTTACAAACAATAAGTATTGTTTGCGTATTTCCTTGCTTTTAAAAGATTTATGAGGAACTGGAAGTGAAACAAAAGATCTTTTGCTTACTCAAAGTTAAATTAGAAAATTTTAAAATCTTAGAGCTTTGATAAAACTTAGAGATCTTCATTCCAATGTCATAATTTTACAGCAGGGGAAAGATGAAGTGACTTTCAAATTTGAAAACACAATTAATGACATAGATGGAGCAGAAAACAGCTTTAGTAATTACAGAAAAGGTTGTAATTGTTCTTCAGTTTCGGTAGCTACAGTTTGATTTTCAACTAAGACAGCACGCTTCTAGAAATTCATTGTTTTCTCAGAATTATGTGAGTTATCTCACACTAAACAAGTGAAAACTTCAATTTAGCAGTCACAACTCCTCTATTCCTGGCATCAGTCAAGTAAGTACCCAAAGTCTGAGTATACATTAACAAAAACATTTTCATGAAAGAAGCAACTTAGAATAGCGTATTTGTCTTGTAATAAAAACACAAGGCACAAGTCTATGTGACTATGATTTAAGATAATTGAAGCTGGATGAAGAGTTTTCTGATACCGTGAGATGTGCAGTTAAAGGAGATGCAGCTTATTATGTCATCTTCTCTTCCACAACATTAAATTTTGTTCTCCTAAGAGGCACTCATAACTCTTCTTTCAAAGAACATTTAAGTACTAACTCATTTGAAAAAAAAATTTTAAAAAATGCTCAGAATTAAGTAGAGAAGTTACTTAATTTACAGAACCACGATCCCTGTACTTGCCTTTTAAAAAAATATTGTGTTTCATTCATGTTCACCAAACTCTATGACTCTGTGATTCACCTTCTCTCCCCATCCTTAACTCTCTTGCCCCCTCCCCTTCCCTCTTTGGATATCCATACACATCTTACTGGTTATCCTTCTGTTTTTACAATAATGGTTTATACAGTATTTTTCTATGTGCCTGAGTTGATTCACTCAGCATAATGCTTTCTATTCTCTCCCATGTTATATTTTTCAATATTATTGCTTCTGAGTGTTGCATAATGTTCCACAGTGTGAGTGTACCACAGTTTCTTGCTTGTAAGATTAAGAATCCTGAGAGTGAGATGTTCATCCCCCTTACTAGTTTCCCATTGAGACATGCTCTGTATTCTATGGACAACAAAAACTACCTTTACACAAACTTCCCACACTAGGCCTGAAATTATATTTTTAGACTTAATAAAATCTTGATAATTTTAATAAAATCCAGCACCTCAAAAAGTCTGATTCAACTTAATTGTTGTTATGTTGCTGTCAAATTGGAAGTGACTCATAACTGGTCCTCCAGTGGGTTTTCAGAGGCTGTAAACATCACAGGAGGAAATAAGATTGACTATCTTTCTCCGACAGAGGAGATGGTGAAGTTGAACTGTTTGCCTTTGGATTGGCAGCACAGATCCTTATAAGATAAAGAATTTGGTAATCCACTTTGATAAAGATTATATCATATATTGATCTATAATGGCATAAATAGTGTGTGTTGTTGTTATTGAGTACTGTCAAGGCTGAACCGATCCGCAGCTGACCTGTCAGTGGATTCTCAGAGATAGTTAATCACATGAGAGAAGATTGTCTATCTTTGTGTGCCTGGTAGACTTGAATCAGTTACCTTCAGGCCAGTTGTACAGCTTCTTTCCACCAGGCCACCAGAACTCATATATATAAAATATTCCATGATTATTACTTTGGAAAGTCTATGCACTAGTTTTAATCTAACTAATTAGACCATTCAGAGTTGGAATCAACTCAGCTAAACAGGGTAACAATAAAAAGCAATTTAAATTTGATGGTTAGTTTTTGTGGATTTCACCCCCTACTGTACAATTAATAGGACTACTATTTATTTTTAAATATTTTCTTAATCATCTGTGACATTCATTTTTACTAGATTTCTATTCCATCATTCCTACAGGAAATGGCCACACAAAACACTTCCATTATAACTGAGTTCATCCTTGAGGGATTGACAGAGAAACCAGAACTACAGCTACCTTTCTTTTTCCTGTTCCTAGCAATCTATGGGGTCACCATAGTAGGAAACATGGGAATGATCCTCCTCATCAGTTTCAATTCCAAGCTTCAGACTCCTATGTACTTTTTTCTCGGTAATTTGTCTTCCGTAGATCTTTTTTATTCCTCTGTTGTTACCCCTAAACTCCTAGGAAATTTTTTATTTGACCAAAATACTATTTCTTATACTGGATGCATGACTCAGCTATTCTTCTTTTGTTTTTTTGCTATTTCTGAATGCTACATGTTAACTGCCATGGCATATGACAGGTATGTCGCTATCTGTAGTCCACTGCTCTACAGTGTCACCATGTCTCAAAATGTCTGCAATGTTCTAGTGATTGGGGTTTATATCATCGCATCTGCAGGAGCTATGGCTTATACTATCTTCATGACCAGGCTGTCCTTCTGTAAGGACAATGTCATCCACCATTACTTTTGTGACATACTTCCTCTCCTAAAGCTCTCGTGTACCAGTACTTACATCAATGAGCTTCTGGTTCTGATTTTAGGAGGATTCAATGTATTAGCAACAACTGTGCCCATCATCATCTCTTATGCCTGTATTGTCTCCAATATCCTTCGCATGTCATCAGCTGAGGGAAGGTCCAAAACGTTTGGTACCTGTGGGTCTCATCTTACAGCTGTTGGGCTTTTTTATGGCTCTATCATATTCATGTATTTTAAGCCAGCCTCCAGCAGCAACATGGCCCAAGAGAATGTGGCCTCTGTGTTCTACACCACAGTGATCCCTATGCTGAACCCTCTGATCTACAGTTTGAGGAATAAAGACATAAAAAATGTGCTCAGAAAAATTATGAAAATAAGGTATGGATCACCGCAGGTTAAAAGTCACAACCATTAAAATCATAATAGTGTACTTCTTTCTTCTACTTTGAAGTAACTTGTCCTATTTTTAAAAATCAATATGTAATTTTGAAATTATTTTTCTGTGTTTGTTAGATGTTTTCCTTTTATCAATGGTTCTTTGTAATAGGTTTAATGAGAGATTAGGTGCAGAGATATTTATAGTGAAAAATTCTCATGCCTCTGCACAGTTTTAAAACCTTTCCTCACTGAGAAAAACTTGGAAAAATAGTTTCACTTTATTGTTAGGTGCTATAGATCATACTCAAGTACGATCCAAAGTGACCCTATGAACATGGATCTGAACTCTGTCCTATTATATCATTCTTATCATTTCTGATATATTGGAGTTTTTCATTAGGTTGAAGTTAATCAACAGTAACTCCTTTGTGTCTTTCATAACTTAATGGATGACATTCTGGTACTTGAAAACAGATGTGGCTGTGATAGAAAATAATTATCATAACCCTTAATTATGATTTTAATTTAAAAATAACAATATATGTAATGCATGTTTTTATTATGGTGGGGTTTTTTTACTTACTGTCATGTACTTTTATCTTTTAAAATATATTTCCACAAACAATGACTCTTCAGAAAACTTAGTGGAGAAATTACTACTGCTGAAATTTTCAGCACAATGCTGATCCTGGATAATTACTACTGTAATGCAACAGGAATAAGTAACTATTTTCTAAAAAGTAGACTTATCTTCAAAAATGTCTCCAATAAAATTCTACTTCATAAATAATCCATTTCTATGAGGAAGTTAAGTATCCCAATAATATTATCCTATTATTAGGTGATAGATTTAAATAACTCTATTCTGTACTCAACTGTCTCCGTTTTATTTCCAGTTATTCTCCAAGATCTATCTATTTTCAGCACAGGCTAAATATATGAATGGAATAAAAATATGGTGAGGATTATCACCTTTGCACTAATCTCCAATCTCACCCAGAATGTGCATTGCTTTTGGTGTACTATCTTCCAAGGCAGAAACAGTTCTAGTGGTGTTCATTAACTTCTTGTAAAATAAAAGTATTTATTCATGGATCTAAAAACCGCCAGTTGCTGTAAGTATATATCCTAGTTAAGCATTTTTTGACTTTAGGAAATAGTTGTAAAATGGATACAGGAACCCACTGAATCTTTTCTGTAAGAATGACTTGTACCTGATACCATGCAGTTGGTTCATTTCTAGAGGTTTGGGAGAAAGATTGTTACTGTTGTATGCCATTGAGTGGAACTGAGCCATAGCTGACCCTCCAGAGGGTTCTCAGAGGCAAATAATCACACAGGAAGAGACTCCCCAGGAGCAACTAGTTGATTTGAACCGTGTGCCTTTTGGATTGCTGCACAGCTTCTTACCAATAGGCCTCTAGAGCACTGCAGAAAGATTAGCAGTGTACATTTTTTAAAAAATTTATACATAATGGTCAATCATGATGTTATTGATCTATAAATTGGTTCAAGTTTGGATAAAGGGATCATAACTCTGTTTTGGTTATTCAAATTACATTTCATTTCACCTGGTTTTGAACTCTTCCATCAACACTGCTAAATCAAAACTTTATAGACCATGCACCATTTTTTTTTCCTAGGATCACTGTGATCAACTTTCCAACACCATATGTCTCTGTGAATCACACTATTCTGATTACTGTTTTGACTATGATGCTCATTATGATAACTGTATGAGTATGTGTTGGCATTTGGCTGCAATAATTTTAATTATGTTCAAATTTCCCATTTCAGGGGCAATATTTTATACCGTAATATCTAGTCTATTGAAAATAGTGGCTATAAAATTTTTCAAGCAAGCTGGGATCTCTTCTTCAAATTAAATTTTTATAATGTTATTGTTGTTGTTATGTGCCATTGAATCTCTTGCAACTCATAGCGACCCGATGTTCAAGAGCCCTAAGCGCCGTTCTATCCTGTGCCAGCCTCACTATCTCAAACACATTCATTCCCACCACCCCAATCACAGAACTGATCCATCTCATCGAGGGTCTTCCTCTCCTGCACTGTCCCTCCACTCTCCCAAACATGATGTCCCTCTCCAAGGATCAAACCCTCCTTGCAACATGACCAAAGTATGTCAGGCAAAGCTTCAGAATCCTTGACTCCAAGTGGCGTTCTGGCTTCACCCTGTCCAGGACAAACCTGTTTGTTCTCCTAAAAGTCCATGGTATATTCAACACTCTTCTCCAGCACCACAGCTCAAAGGCATCAATTCTCTTTCTATTATCCCTAGTCACTGTCCAACTCCAATGCATAGTGTGTAATTGTGAAGACTATAGCCTGGATCAGGCGCACCTTAGTCTTCAGCCTGACGTTGTTCCTCTTCTGTACTCTTGAGAGGTCCCTCACAGATGACTTTCCCAATGCAATTAACCTCTTGATTTCCTGGCTGCTGGTACCAAGAGTGTTGACTATGGAACCAAGTAAATGAAAACTGTTAACTATCTCAATCTCTTCACCATCTATACTGATGCAGCTAATTGGCCCAGTTGTGAGAATCTTTATTTTCTTGATGTTGAGGTTCAATCCATATTGAAGGCCTCAGTCCTTGACCTTCTGCAGCAAGCACTTCAGGTCCTCCTCAGTTTCAACAAGCAGGGTTGTGTCATCTGCATGATGCAGGTTGTTGACGATTCTTCCACCACTCCTGATGCCACATTTCTCCTCATACAGCCCAGTGTCTCGGATGATCTGTTCTGCATACAGATTGAAAATGTGTGGAGACAAAATACATCTCTGACAGACTCCCCTCCTGATTTTGAATGATGTAGTGTCTCCTTGCTCTGTTCTAACCACTTCCTCTTTGTCCAAGTATAGGTTTTGCATTAGCACTATCAAATATTTTGGGATTCCTATTTTTCTCAGAGTCAGCCATAGCTTGTTGTGATCCACACAGTCAAAAGCAATAGTGGTTTAAAAAAAAACCCAAACGTTTCTTTCTGGTAAATCTACTCTTTGAATATTTCTAAGCATTTGCAGATTATTGTTTTTTTTAAGTGATACAAGCGTGTTTTGGAATTTCAACTTCAGTTAGTGTAGGTTATCATTTGGCTCAGGTTTCATTCTGTTAATTAACCAAATAAACTGTAAATCCTCCTTAAAAATCCCTTTTAAGAATGAGGCTGACATCAGGATGGGGGTAAGACAGAAAAACTGGATGAAATATGTTTATGGCATTGAAGTCTTTGGGGAAGAGAATATTTTATATTTTAGGGCACTATGTTTATCGTAAGAGTACGGAATGAGGGTTGCAGAGTGGATTATATTTGGGGGTTGGGGGATGTATGTGGGGGATTGTGTACCAATGAGGGAGTTTTTCTTTTGCGTTTGAAGGCGAGGAGCAAATGGGGTAGGGGGTAGGGGGGCGGGGAGAGGAGTGCAACAATGGATGAATGGAATTCCAAAATCTCTGTAGATGTTCACTGAAATGAAAAATAAAGATATTAAAAAAATAAGGCCCCAGGAATTGATGAGACACCAATTGACATGTTTCAACTAGCAGATGCAGCCCGACACCTGCTCACTAGTTTGGAAAATAACTACTTGGCCAGCTGATTGGAAGAAATCCATATTTGTTCCCATTTCTAGGAAAGCTCATCCAGTAGAATGTGGAAATTATAGAATAATATCACTAATATCAATGCAAGCAAAATATTGTGGAAGATCATCCCCAAATGGGTGGAACACTACACTGCCAAAGAACTGCCAGAAATTCAGGTTGAGTTTAGAAGAGACATGCCACCAGAGGTATCGTTGATGATGTCAGATGGATCTTGGTTGAAAGCAGAGAATACCAGAAGACCTATTTGTTCGCCAGTGACTAGGGATGATAGAGAATTGATGTCTTTGAGCTGTGGTATTGGAGAAGAGTATTGAGTATTCCACGGACTACTAAGAGAACAAACAAGTTTGCGCTGGAGAGAGTAAAACCAGACTGTTCCTTAAAGGCAAGGATTCTGAAGCTACATCTGACTTACTACCTTGGACATGTTGCAAGGAGGTACCAGTCCTTGGAAAGGGACAGCGCAGGAAAGGAAGACCTTCAATGAGATGGATTGATTCAGTGACTGGGGTAGTGGGGGTAGGTGTGTTGGAGACAGTGAGGTTGGTACAGAATAGACCGGGGTTTGGGGCTGTTGTACATATGGCTGCTATGAGTCAGTCACAGGCAACTTGATGGCAAATAACAACAACAATTTGTTTTTTTATTGACTATCCAAAGACATTTGATTGTATGGATCATAACACATCATGGCTAGCATTAAAAAGAATGAGACTACTAGAACAGTTAATTGTGCTTTTTGTGAAACCTATACCTAGACCAAGAGGCTGTTCTGCAAACAGAGGAAGGGGATACTTCTTGTTGTTGTTGTTATGTGCCATCAAGTTGCCTGTGACTCATAGTGACCCTATGTATAACTGCTCTAAACCCTGCTCTACCCTGCGCCAGTGACTGGGATAATGGGGGTAGGGGTGTCAGAGACAATAAGATTGGCAAGGGAACACTATCTAGTTGAAAATCAGGAAAGATGTGCCCAGGGTTGTATCTTTCCTCCATACCTGTTCAATCTGTATGCTGAGCAAATTGTTTGAGAATGTCAATTCTACAAAGAGGAATATGGCATCAAGATTTGAGGAAGATTCCTCAATAACCTGTGTTATGCAAATGACACCACCTTGCTTGCTGAAAGTGAGGAAGACTTGAAGCATTTGCTGCAGAATATCAAAGTCTACAGCCTTCAGTACAGAATGCATTTCAAAGTCTAGAAAACAAACATTCTCACCATTGGATTAATAGGCAGCATCATGAATTGATGGGAAAAAAGATTTTACTTGGATCTACAATCAACATACTTGGTACCAGCAGTCAGGAGATCAGGAGATGTACTGCTTTTTGATAGTTTGCAATCAGGGACCCATCTAAATGACTGAGGAGCAAATGATGTCAGTTTGAGAACTAAGGTGCACCTG